CCCTTAAACAAGCACTTGGCCTTATTGCCATGCACTCAAAAAGCCTGATTGGGCTTATTATCAGGGGATATCTTATTTTGGGGAAAACAGGGTATACAGAAAATACAATATATTCTGCCTGGGTAGATGTTTTTAAAGATACTTTCTGGAAATAGTGAATTCTATCTGTTATCAGTCCTTTCTATCTGCTAAATAGATAGTGGGGATTGTCATTTAAATCTTAGATTATGTATGTTTCCCTGTTGGTGTGTCAAGTATACAAGGTTTTTCATAGTTTAGCAGCTGTGTTGTTTACTGTTATCTGATGTGATCCAAATTCTATTTTCAAAATAAAAATAGTGCTATAGGGAGATACAAAATGGCTCGGATATTGTTCTGAATATTTCATGTTTGACACAATTTTTTTCTGTTTTGGAGATTTTCTTTCAAACATGACATTAAACAAGGCTCGTTTGGGCTTTGTTCCTTTCTTGCCTGCCACTAATGTTCATGGCAAATCATGGTAGATTGAGCTTGAAAACCCATGGCATGCTTTTTGCAAGTAGCAAAAATCAGGGTCAGAAGAAAGGATATCAAATTCTTTTCAGCCTCAGGAATGTTTAAGCACTGGGGATAAACGTTTAATACCTGGGGATAAACAAAACACATTTCCTCTGGCATCCCTATAAAACTTATCTTTTCAACTATCTGTTCTTAAAGAAGATTCTATACAGAAGTAGTCATCGTGGAGGGAAAAGGCATCACATAATGGTAAACTAGTTTGAATCCTAGCATGTGATAACTTTGGTTCAAAGACTTCATGAATGTTAACATATGCTAGGATTCAGACTAGTCTAGAGGCATTCAATTTAACGAAGGTAGTGCAAAATATTATGTGCACCTACATGGAACACAGTGTTCTAGCAATTGAAGTTTGAACCCACATATGTGGGTAAGGATCAGGGGTGAAATGCTACTGGTTTGGACCGGTTTGCCCAAACCGGTAGTAATAAATGCTACCAGTTTGGGCAAACAGTAGTAAAAAAATGCGACCAGTTTGGGCAAACCGGTATTTCTAATGATCAGCCGTGCCACACGATTTATATTTGCTAGAAAGCAGGAAATCCTGCTTGCATGCACACACATGCAACCCTGAATGTGCGTGCAAAGCGAACCGGTAGTGAAGCGAACTGGTAGCAGACTTCAAAGCATTTCACCCCTGGTAAGGATTCAGAAAACAGATTTTTGCCAACTTATCAGGTGCCTGTTTGGTGGAACAGTTGTTCCATCTCTAAACCAATGAATTTGGTTTAGAGATGGAACACCTGTAGTCTTTGAAGATGGTAGGGAGAGTGAAAAATCATAGGCAGTGCACATAACACTCAAAGGGCCAGCAAAGGGATTATGAGAGAAAGGATCAACATTAAGCTGGGAAAGGATAGGCAGGCATTGAATTCAAGTGTAACAGGGAATGGTATGTGGAAATGACCTTAGGAAACAGGAGGAAGACCTGCAGTCTAGGCAAAAGTCAGAGGAGAGGCAGCTAAGCTCATGAAGGAGTGAAGGCATGGCAAACAATTCGGAAGGGACCCTCCTTAATTTCCTGGACTGTAAAGGAGGAGGGCATAAGGAGGGAGGGGGAGAAACTTATAAAATTCTATTAATGTAACCTTACAATAAAGATATAACTAATACTCCCAGGTGTGATGTTTGTCTGGATAGCTAAAGGAAGACAAAAAAGAGAAAAAGAAAAAGAAAGAAAGAAAAGATGGGGGAGGCAGGAAAGGAGAGAACATGGGTCATGTTAGGGAGTGAAGAGTTAGGTAATTCAGATATACCCTGCCAAATTTCTCTCTCTCTCTCTCTCTCTTTTTTTTTTGCTTTAATTTATATGCCGCCCTTCTCCGGAGACTCAGGGCGGCTTTCAATGCGTTAAGCAATAGCCTTCATACTTTTGTATATTTATACAAAGTCAGCTTATTGCCCCTACAATCTGGGTCCTCATTTTACCTACCTTAGAAAGGATGAAGGCTGAGTCAACCTTGAGCCTGGTGAGATTTGAACTTGCAGTAATTGCAAGCAGCAGATGTTAATAACAGTGCTTTAGTCCACTGTACTATCAGGCTCTTAGCAATTGACTGAAACCTGGAACAACCAACTTATCCCAGATTTTAATTCTATAGGACCCTGATCCTGTCCAGTGTGGTATACCAAACAGAATAAGCCTCAATCTGTTTATTCTCCATATGGAACAAAACACATTTTTCATTTCATGCTCACATCTGTGCATAACCTGGAATCCAACTGTAGGTTAACTGGGATAAGAATTTATCGCCCCACCCTTAAAAAAAAGAAAAAGACAGAATACAAATGCCAGAAAAAGTCAATTAAAAAAAGTTTTCGCCTTTTCTGGGGCAAATTTTGGGATTAAAAATAAAATAAAATTAAATTAAAGACTAAGATTAAATTTAACTCAAAATTTTGTCTTTAAAAAGGTAATCATCAATTTAATTAGTAACAATATACAGTAAAGACAGATTACTAAAGCCATGCTTTTCAAATGACAGTAGCTGTGGCTTTATAAATAACTTGATAACTATGATGATGAATCACATACACTTCACAGAACCTATGAGCTATTTTGTTCATACCAAACTGATTTTATAAATAGATATGTAATCTGATTTACAGTCAAAGCTTTCAAGGTCATTCCTTGTCAACAAAAAAGTTTAATGAATGGCTACAATGTACTTCATTTACCATATTTGAAGAGTCACATAAAAATGAAATATTTCTTGAACCATCAGAAACAATCTTCCTTAACAGTCAATTGTATACTTCTAATAATAAAAAGAGGACAAGCTAAGATGTCTGATCACATTTGTTAGAAATGTTTTCTACTCAAATCCAATTGAAGTATATTATGAAATTAATCTTCCATTAATTTTAAAACTATGCATGAAAACTTTAATCTCATGCATAAATAAATCAACATTCCATTTTATCTTCTTCTTTGTAGGGATGGGAAGAATGCAGACTGGTTATATTTAATCTCTGAAAAAGTAGATCCATGTGAATTATGGACTATGGTATATAGGTTCAGAAGCTTTACATTGTCACTTAAGATGACTTTTTTTCCCAAACACAATTATTCTAATAACACCTATTTCTTATCCAAGTTTAGGATTTAGCAAGAATGATGAGTAGAATCTTTTATTAATGTATTTTTTTTCCCAAATGAACTAAGAATTGATAATTGTACAGTTAGACAGATAAATTGTTTAAACCAGAATGAACTTAGGGTATTCGTAGTGGAAACAATAATTGATGGGAAATAAATGACCTCACTAATCCAAATGGAAATACCACAATTGATGGCCACAATTATTTATCCTGAATGTCTTATGTCTCCTAGATTCACAGAATTTGGGTTGAAAAATGAACTGTTTTCACTGCTTCAGTAGGATGTATATTATTAGGTCAATGCTTCTCAACCATGGCAACTTTAGGATTGGAACATCCACAATTCTCCAGCCAGCTTGGCTGGCTTGCTAATTAATCATCATTAATGATAATTAATCAGCAAGCAACTCTGGGCACCACAAGCACAGTGACCCTGGCCCATTCTTGAGAAGATCTAGCAAGCCACATGCCCGTTGGTCATGACTCTGCTGACAGTGGCAATGGTTTCCAGAATGCCCTGGAGAGAGCTGTAGGTCCTCCATGATGTCATTGTGCCTCTTAGGTTCCTCTAATGCTTATGTTTCTTCACTAATGACAGGTGAATGTCCACCTGGCCAGTTGGCTAGGAAAGAGAAAGGGGCCCCATCCTCAGCAGTCACCAATTTTTCCCTTTGCAAGAATTCTCAGCACCCTCCTTTCTCCCTTCTGCTCTTTTGCTCTGCGTTAACTGACTATTAACTTATTATTATTCCTAATTATTACTAATAAACCTTGGAATGAGTAGCATTGTTCATGACTACAGAAGTACAGTGTGCTATGGTTATTTTAGTTCAAAGGGTCATTGCATATTATGCTTGGATCTGTACCACAGAGAGTCAGAAGTTAACTTTTTTCTGTAGCTTTTTTCCCGTTTTGTTTGCAGCACCCCCCCCCATTTTGCTTTTCTCCTGTTCTTCTCCTTTATCTTTCCATCTTCTTCTTCTTCTTCTTCTTCTTCTTCTTCTTCTTCTTCTTCTTCTCTTCTTCTTCTTTCTTCTTCTTCTTCTTCTTCTTCTTCTTCTTCTTCTTCTTCTTCTTTTGATTTTGTAGTCTTTGAAATTTAATAAAGTGTTTTGCCAAAAAAATTATTCCAATGCAGGTACAGATGATAAAAAATGCAATACCAATGCAATGAATACAAATATAGAAAATGACAGTTTTCATCCCCAAATGAAACAATTCAGTCTTCACATTTCCAGCAGTGTAGATACAAGCCAAATTTTGAAAGGCCGGCCATTCCACAGGATGGAGTTAACAACTGAAAAAACAGATGGTTTGCAATCTCTAGCCCAGTGATGGCTAACCTTTTTGTCCTTGCATGCTGAAAGCGTGCACGCATGATAGCACGCACATGCGTGCTCATACCCATAATACAATGTGCGCAAGACACACCCTGTGCATGCATGTGCCAATCCCTATGCGAGCTCCCCCCCGTACATGCACGTGCATGCACGTGCGACCATGCCCTGTTTTGGACCTAGCAGACCTCCCTGAAGCCTCCTGGGATCAGAAACAGGGAATGGGTGCAGGGGTCATGCCGCACCTCCCAGGCTCCCCCTAGCCCCCCCCCTGCATGTCTACGCTGTTACAGATGTTATGTCTGCCTTGTATGCAGCTTTATTCCTCTCTAGCATTCATTTCCATTGTTCAGTGATGCATTTCCTGTCTCTCTAGGATTTACCTCTATCTGCTCCTGTGAGGCACTTCCTGTTCCTGTTGGATGTATATACAGCTCAGCTGGGGCAAGGGCTCGTGTGCTGGCAGAGAGGCCTACGTGTGCCACCTGTGGCACGCGTGCCATAGGTTCACCATCACAGCTCTAGCCCCTTCATCAGATGAACTTGGGGAACCATCAAAAATTTTTAACCAGGTGTATATGGTGGGCAGATCAGACATACACTTTCTGGGCAGAGAGGACCGTATTAAGTATCTAGATGCCAAGCCATCATTGAGTAAAACCAATACTTTGATTTGTATCCAAAACCTGCTGGTAATCTATGCAATAATTAAGCCTGGTTCATCAATGTACAAGCCAAAGAAACAATTAAATGATTAAATTATTGCCTTTACAAGTCCCAGAGACCAGAAAGCAGATGTTTCTCCCCATTTTAACTAACAAGAAGACAAATTAAAATGACTGAAGATCAAGCTGCTGATGTGTAAAGAGGCACATGTGCTTTGCCAATCTTACCTTCATAGTATAAGTTGGATGTGACCTTGCATCTGTATTTGATCAAGTTCACCTGTCTTTCACTATAGTACTCCAGACATTTCTTCTGGTGCTTCATCTCATAGGGGGTTTGAATGAACCAAATATATGCTTGTTCCCCAAGATCATCCAATATCAAGAAGCTACTCAAAAGCAATCCCATTAAGATTCTGTTCATTTCCCTATTCTAGGAATCACCCAAGGAATCAATAGAACTGCCTGCAAGTAATTCTCAATTTTATTTGGAATTCCTTCATGTTTTATTCAAGCACAGCAGTCAATCCGGAGTTTGTAGAATTTGAAAACTTCACATTTGAGGCTTTTGTAAGAATTGTAAGTACTTGTAGAGTACTTGTAGAGAATACATTTTTAATTTTTTTTTCATCAGAACATCAGAATTTTCTGTTATGCTTTTGTTGAATTAAACAGAAGTATTAAATCATCTGGCAGAGAATCTGCTAGAAGTCTGATCTATGACATTAAGACATCTTTGGTTATGTAATTTTTTAAAAAAATTAGCATAAACTACCTGAAATTTTTGAACCTTGCTTTCTCCAGTTGGTGTTAATCTAAGCTTTAATCTAAGCTGTTTTTCACAAGCCTAATACATGGGAAAAATTAAGCTGATAGTTTCTTGATTTTAATGAACAACTGCAATTAAAAAATTAATTACTTTTTCCAAATTAAAACAGCACACAAAATAAATTTGTTTGACCCTAAATATCCATAACAATAACAATTTTCTTCCCATTCTGAATAAATGAAGTGATGTATCGACACTGAAATAGAAATTAATATTAATTTAATCTGAACTGCACATATAAAAAATAGATCTTTTCCTATACACATAATAAATAAATGCTAATGAAAACTTGCTAATTAGTTTGTAATCTAATTGATAGAGACATTTCAATGTACTTAAGAAAGCAGGTCAGTCAGCTCTGAACTTTACACTCAATTTTAGATGTGTATATGAGGGAGATGGGAATTAGATTTTTATTTTATGCTAGCACAAAGCTGAGATTATTGTTACTATTATTTTTTTTAAAAAAATCAACAAAGTACTTTTTTACTACTCAGAATTTTTACTACCGGTTTTCCGAACTACTCAAACTTTTCGCTACCAGTTCTCCGGAACTGGTCAGAATCTGCTAAAACCCACCTCTCGTAGGCTGGATGCGTCACACACTGGCCACGCCCATACCTGGTTTAGCGAAGGGGAAAAAAGTCATGATACATCATGTGACAATGCCGTGACAACGCGAGTTTGACACCCCTGGCCTATAGTAAGAAGAAGACACATTGAGATAATGTTCATATTCCTAGTATAGTCTGGGAGTGAGAGAAGTCACTGCACGCAGTGAAAAAGTTAGTAGACCCTGTTTCAGAGAAGTAATCACAACACAAAAGAGATGTTTCATTGAATAAAGTGCAGCGTTATACCCTTGTCCTAAACCAGTTGCAAAGATCCAGTGGTGTGATTTCACACACAACATAGCAACATATGACTCTTGCTTTATCACCCTAGAAGAATATTAAAGAAACTAGCAGGATCAGATGAAAAGCATTTGGTCTAGTTCCCTTAAACAACACATCTGATGCTCCAGGGAAATCATTCTCCCATTTTAACTTCCCAACAAATAATACTGTTTCTAAATCTAGAGGTTTCGTGTAATTACAGGCTTCATTGGTGTGTCACTCAGACTCCTATTCTACATCTGAGGCAATTTCACACAATCGAGAAGCAGTGGGTTGGCGTTCCTCAATCTATAGTGTAAGAGCAATGGTTCCTAAATAGAGGGAAATTAACTGGAGGTAATGCAGCAATTTGTAATTGCTTATTTGTGAGTTGAGAATCCAATTTGGGACTGCCAAGATACTTGACTGCCAAGATACTTGCGTAAAATAACAGAGTCTGGTTTTTGTGTGGGCTTAATGACATTATTTGAGACCCAGAAAAGGAATAATTGGGTCAAACAGTTTAAAAACCTCTGGTGTAGAGTTTATCAGAGGAAAGGCCATGTGACTTCTCCCTTACAGAGAAATCTCTGTGCAGCACAAGCTGTCAGAAACAGGACTATTAGGAAATCCTAAACATTGTATGGAGCATCAGCCTTCATTATCTAGTAAATGTTAGACATATCTCCATTTAGTGGACATCAGATGCAGTGGAGCAAATTTCCATCTAAATATCCTACTGTAATAATGGACTTGACAATGGCATCCAAAGTGGTTCATACTAGCAGATTAATTTTATGTTAATGTTATGTCATTCACCAAAACTCTACATCATTTGCATAATTACACAAATTATGTCATTTGCATCAACTCAAGACGTTCTAATGCAAATTAACATAAAACATTTGCATAACAACATTATGCAAATGGACTGAGTCACTATGGATTATTCAGATATGTACTCTTGTATTTAATGGATAATTGGGTATAATGGACATCCTGTCTTCCCAATTGGTCAGATAAATTGAGGACTTAACAATACTGCTGTTCAACCAAATGTTTTCTAAAATGCATACATCGTGCTGACCTAAATTAATAACTAATACCATGAAGAAAATATGAATGATGCTTATAGTTTGTACTATATTTATCAGCAGTGAGGTGGTCACTGAAAATCTGCTATGTATTTAGTTCCTTATATATGAAGGTATATGTTTATCTACAGTCTTGTTCTATCCAAGATTTTTCAAGATATACTGGATATCTGCCAATGATGAGAAGTCAGTCTCAAGTCTTTGAAAGAAAGGGGTAGGGATAAGCACTTTTGATCTATTTCCTGCTACTCAAGGAATTCTTTCTTTTAAGATTGAGAAACAATAAAGAATTCCACAGATGTCACATCATTTTTTTTCTCAATCAAAGAGCAACCTTAACCATCTTCTTCATGACAGAAGTATCTTCTTCTGCTGTGGTCTTTTGTACTTGTAGAATAAGATATTGTCTGTGAAGAAAGTGAGATGCTGAAAAATCTCCCAAATAAATTATTGCAACAGATGTTGCAAGCCAAAAAGCCAGTGTAATGTAGATGAATATAGAGTTAGTGCATGAAATTCCAGAAGAGTTTCTTTGAAGGGAGAACTACTGCCATCCCAGAAAACTTATTCAGATTAAATCCAACCTATTAAAAATATCACTGTTTTAGATTTATTTATTCTTGATTTATATTCAGGTATTATGCTTTGGGTTTATTTCTTCCCACACTTCAAAGTCAACCCAAATACTTGGTTGTGACTGATGTAATAATGACAGGATGGCCCCATTAGATAGGCAACTCAGATGGCAGATGCTAAAAGTAGCAAAATATTGAATGATAGTTGTGTGAGTCATCAGTTCTGAGCTATGCTCCTTAACCCAGTCTGCTTCCTTTAGCTGCATTGAACAAAGCTGTCTGAACCCCATGTTGAAATGAGATTCACCTGTCAGTCTGGACAGCTTCCCTGCGTTGAACAGCAAGAGACTGGGATGCTTTGCCTTGGACAGCAAACTGTCTTATCTGAATCCTGAATTGTAAGAAAAACATGTCAATAATGTACTCTGCCATTTTTCTTTTGATTTTAAACATTTTTCAGAACAGGAAAGAAATATTCCAGGTTTTCACGTTGTAAAAATGTCAGTGTAAAGCATAAAAGATTAACTGAAGGGAAAAAAAGGTTTTACTTTAAAATGTTATTGTTTGCATACATTTCTCTCCTGTGCCATTATTTGGCACAGTTTATTGATTAGTTTCCTCCACACTTTTTTCCAATAAGTAATTACCTGTAAATGGGAATGGATTCCAAAAGTGTTTTGTAAATCAAGGTTCAAGTTCACTTTATGCAAATAATTGTGCAACACTAGAAGATTAAACACCAGTATTATAATCATCTGTGAAGAGAAATGGAATGGGACAAAACAACCTTGGTAAAACCCTAATGCTACTACATCTTTACCATTGCAATATACTGGCTACAAGTTCCTAGATTTCTTGCCAGTATGTATTGCAACTGTAACTTAGACTTTCCACTCAACATGATGAATCATACCTCTTAAGAACAGGACAGCACATTTGAGCACATTTGAGCAGCCTGGCATATGGTAGAACAAATTCCATACATGCCTAAACTCCCTCTCTCTCTCTCTCCCTCCCTCCCTCCCTCCCTCCCTCCCTCCCTCCCTCCCTCTCTCTCTCTCTCTCTCTCTCTCTCTCTCTCTCTCCCTTTCTTCTTGAACCTTAGCTTAGAGTGGTGATGTTGTTTTGGGGTGTATGGTTGCAACCAGTTTAGACTGCTATTTTGTATCATAAAGTCACAGAGATGTTTTAGAATTTAAACACTGAAAAACATAAAAAAAAAGTTCAACAGGATAACAATAATTCAGAAAAATTAGGTAGTCCTTTTTTTTTGTTTTTGTCTGTTTCATTTTTATCATCTTCACTGAGGAACAAGAAATGAAATATTATTATTGCTACCAATCACATATAATTGTTACCAGTTACAGTAACAGCTGCAACAATATATCAGAAATGAACCAACCAATCTGACATCAATTCCTGGGAAGAGTGTACAGGAATCCACTAAAAAAATCAGCCTGTAAGTATTTGAAAAAAATGTAGTAATTACTATACATTAGGACAACTTTGTCAGGTACAAGTCCTGCCAGACTAAAGTTTTTTTTTTTATATATCAGGTAAGTTTCATAGTAGATTGTGGGAATGCTAACCTTAATATCATATTTCCCCAAAAATAAGACTCTGTCTTATAATTTTTTGAACCCTGAAATAAGTGCTTGGCTTTATTGCCATGAGCTCAAAAGCCCGATTGGTCGTATCATCAGGGGATGTCTTATTTTGAGGGAAACAGTGTAGGTAGGTATAATGCATCATGATATGAGCAAAAATATTTGGCAAAGTGCCTTCTGGAATTATGATTAGCAGCTAATTAAGAGAATTAAATGGATGCAAAAGCTGCCTGGTTTCCTAATCACACTGGAGTAAAGAATCTTGTCAAGTGCTTAGGGTTCAATCTTGGAGGCTGTGTTCCTCAACATTTTTATTAGTGTTTTGGAAGAAGTCAAAGACCTGCTTATCAAATTTGTCAAAGATACACATTTGAATGAGATAGCTAATACCTTAGAATATAGGGGGAAAAAATTCAAAATTATCTTGATAGATTAGAGAAACGGGTTAAAAGGAACAAAAGAAAGTTATCAGTGACATGTGCAACATTCTTATTTATCAAACAGGGGAAAAAATGAACCCATATAGAGTGCAAGGAAGAGTACTAGTGACAAAAGTTAATTAATAATATGTATTAGCAATAGAATATGGCTGGAGAATACACAAAAGCCATTTTGGGCTGTGTCAGCAGGAATGTGCTTTCAAATCATCAGCAGTAATTGTTTATTTAATTCTGTGTTGGTCAGACGCCACCTTGAGAACTAGGGCAGCAAGGATGATCAGTAATTAGATCTTTGAAGGGAGAGTGTAGTAGTGGGGTATGTTTAACCTTGGGAAAAGGTTAAACATACCTCAGGTGAGCATCCCTCCATTACCTGAAAATAAACTGCATTGAATAGACAGAGAAGATCTGCTCTCTGTCCCTGTCATGGCTCAGAATAATGGATTTAAATGACAGAAATGTACATCCTGGATGAATATTAGATGAAAACCAAAAATACCTATCCTCATTGCAAAGGCAATTCAACAGTAGAATCAATGACCAATGTCTTCATTGGATCCATCAAGCATCTGTTGGGGATGCTTTAATTTGGATACATGTACTGACCACGCAGTTGGCCTTTGTGGCCTAAATGGTTTAATGATTCCATGAAGCTGAGAAATACAGGTAATCTTCTTCCCTTTCTTTTTTCAGAGGAATAACAATAGCATTTAGACTTATAGACTTATATACTGCTTCACGGTGCTTTTTCAGTCCTCTCTAAGCAGTTTACAGAGTCAGCATCTTGCCTCCCAGAGAACAATCTCATTTTATCAACCTCAGAAGGATGGAAGTCTGAGTCAACCTTGAATTGGTCAACTGAACTCCTGGCAGTGAGCAGTGGATTAGCCAGTGCCATTAAAAAAGCCTGATATCTGAGTCTATTCAACATCACTCCTATGAAAATAGCAACTATCATTCTTTTTCTTTTAATTACATTTGCAAAATAATTACTTGAAGTGAGGATGTCTTATCACTCTTTAGAATAGTCATTACCTAAAACGCATAATTTATTTATGGTCATTAATTGAGATGACATGCAGAAAAAAAAAAACTACAGAAAAGAACCCACATATGATATATTAACTTGTTTATCCATTATTTTACACCAAGTAAAATTTTGCATGCTGCATCTTGAGCAGTGTTCTCAAGTAAATAATCATTAGAAATCACAGGGAGTGACAATAAGTTAGCACAGTCAATTTCTAATATGCCTTTTCATAGGTAAAGGAGAATTCATACAGGTAGAACAGGAGTCATACCTATTCAAAAGGCCACACTCTTTCAAGTAATAGCCACAAAGTTATGAATTATAACTTTTCCTCTGATCATCTGTAGGTGTATATACATTCCTAGAAACTCTTTTTCTCTTGGAATAACAGATGATGAAATAACTACAAATGGAAAAGTCTATAAAGATAATTTTGAAATCCACTTTAGTGGTATTGCCAAGGCAAATGGCAGATGTGGATGGTTTGCTGTTTTGAGGAGGACACTACACTTGTTAAAGATTGCTTTCCTTTCCAATATTTTTTCACCACCCTGCTCTACAACTTGGACAAGAAGATAATCTGCTTTACCACATTTTTAGCCTGATGCCATAACCCCTACACCAAACTGGCTGTCTGATGCATTTTTAAATTACCTTCCAGAAAAAAAAAAAACCAGGATGCAAATAGTAAGAAAAAAATCATCATCTGTTCACTTTGCTTTACAGATGAAGTTTTATTATAAAAAATGAAGCAGGGCAAAAACAAACAAACCAGCAAACAAAACAACAAGAACAACAACAAAATGTCCAGAGTTTTCAAATAATCACTTTTCTAAGGAGCTGAAGAAGAGCCGAAGAAGCTTCTTGGATGAGAAGCTTCTTGGATGAGAAGCGAGAAAAACCAGAAAGTTCAGTTGCCTCTTGAAAAAGCACCTTTGGCACACCTTTTAAGGACTTGCTTCATTCTTCTCAGCATATGTACAATATCCAAGGCTGTGAATTAGCAAGGAAAATGCTGTACCGTATTATAGTTTTATTCTCTATTTCTCTTTCTCTGTCTTCTGTCTTTATGGGGATGCCAACCAGTCAATTTGGCAATGTGCATGGCTGCTGTAATCAGATTACATTATGCAAGGCTTTGGGGAGTCAGAAAAGATGATGAATTACTTTATATGGAATATTACTTATTACTAGGTCATCAATTAGTATTAAGCTGACAGTCTCTAGGGCAGTTTAAAAATGGCCTAATTGACACTTCTCCATTACATCCCCCATTGTACCATACACATGTACATTATGGCTTGGACTAAGTGGGCATTTATTACTCAGCAAACTGAGCACAAGCGAAGCTTAGTAATTCAAAACATAATTGGTTTTCATGGAGAGGACAAGAGGGGGAATCTAAGAAAATCTGACATCCAGACACTAATGTATTACCCTCTGTGTATGCGGATGAACAGCTCTTCAGGCTTAATGCCAAAACTTCCTAGCATTTACATTTATACAATAATAAATATTTATGTTTTTTATATATTAGGCCATATCCCAGGATAAATATGATTTATACTGTGTGCTTAATAGAGCCAGCTTTTTTCCTCTCCCCCACCTCTCTCTCTGCAAAAAACAACCTTTGAAAAAAATATTATGGACATTTTACCACAATTTATTATTGAAGTTGTGAGCAAACTAATTATCTAAAGATAGTGGAGGAGATGTCTTTTGCAATAGTGGTAAATCATCATTTCAGTTCATCATCTTTCATTTACATCTGAGCTTTTCCAGCTCTACTCTCTTCTGGGATTTCCTTTGATGCCTTCATTATTTTTCAAAGATAAACTAAGCTTTTTTTTGGGGGGGGGGGAAGTAATCTTTCTACAGAAATGGGAGCAATTTACTATTCATTATCAGAAGAATCCAGTTCAACTTAAGGATAGAATCCATGATCTGGGTCTTGAAATATGGTTATAGTAATTTAGCTGATAAAGCTATGAGAGAACGTCTTCTTGCTCTGAAAGTAATGGCCAATATTATCTTTTGTAGACTTACCTATTATGAGCTTATTTAAGTGTGGCTTGCACCTAGTCAAGTTTGCCAGACTTAGAAAAGCTAAGTAGAACCAAATTTGGCTCATATTTTCCTGGAAATATTATCAAGAAATACTAGGGCTAAACTGGGAATTGTAAAACAAAACCAACATCAGCTATTTTAGAAGACGAAAATGGCAACTTCCATATGGCTTCTTCCGATCCACAAATATATGGGAATGTGCCCTGAAGTCATCAAAAATCAAGCTTAACTTGAAGGAAGAAGTTTTCATTTGAGATGAATTGTTTGACTGTTAATGGGAAGCCTCCACTATTTTGTTGTTCTTGGAACCTGCATGTCCCCTCTTTCTTAGTGTAGTCTATGAACATTATTTCAGTATTTTCTTTTGCCTGATACCAATAGTACTTAGACTTATATACTGCTCCATAGTCCTTTACAGCACTCTCTGACCAGTTTACAGTGTCAGTCCCCAACAATCTGGATCTTCATTTTACTGACCTCAGAACGATGAAAGGCTGAGTCACCCCCGAGCCCCATCAGGATCAAAATCCAGATTGTGGACAGAATTAGTCTGCAGAATACTGCATTCTAATCGTTGCACCCCCTGGGTTCCTGATGCCCGTTACATCCATGCTTTTTGTACAAAGTCTCATTCCTACCTATCTGGGTTTTTCTTTGTTTATTTCATCAGAATAACAAAAAGAATGATTATTATAAAGAAAAATTAAGTGCCCAAACACAACATGTATCAAACAGAATAAGGTACAGTATACAGAAAATAAAATTTGCAGGAAGGAAACAATAAAATGAATTATACCAGAAAAAGCATTTTCTGAAAGATGCATAAACAACACTGTACAAAAATGTTCAGAAATGAAGATATTAGAAAATGTTTAGAAATTAGGATATTAGAAAAAATGTACACAAAAATGGTATTTTAAAGACTATCAAAGTGATTTAGAAATGAAATAAATGAAACTAAAGTCTTGGAATGTCCCAAGGGCAGCTAGGGGCCTAGAGTTGCATATAAATGTTGATTCCATTTTTTTCTGAACAACAACTGAAGTATATTTGAGAGAGAATCATGAAACCAGTACAAAGTGGTATCTCCTCTTGCCCGTATCTCTCAGTCAATCCAGAAGGATGTAGTGTTTAATGCACTGAAGGACACTGAGAGATCAAAGAGAATTAACTCCAGATAAAGTCCTGCCTTTCTAAATCCTCTAGTCCAATCTGAAAGCAATTTGAAATGGGTTGAGATAATCTGAGTTTTTGTTTTGTTTTGTTTTTAGAGAGAGAGAGAAAAAAACCTCTATCTCCCCATCCAGTGAAAATGAGAATGTGCATTTCCAAGGATCCAGTGCAGAGTTCTTTAAAAGAGGTCAAATAATGTGCCTATTTTGGTTTAGTAATAATACATTTGTTAATATGGTGATATGTATGTATGTATGTATGTATGTATGTATGTATGTATGTATGTATGTATGTATGGTTTAAAAATGCAAATGTATCTTTTAATTATATATGGAAGATATGGATATCAATTATGTGTGAAAGCAAGATTACTGCTCAAAATTGGAAAGATACTGTGACCTCAGATTTACAATCACTGATTGCTAATAAACGTTAGCTTTCTAATAGCTGGCTGTTAGTGTAATGGAAAGAGGATGGGTAATAAAAAGACTAATTTCAAGAGAAGATAATATATCTAGCTTGAGGTTGAAGTGTGGAGTCCTTAGTGCTCTCTAAATTTGGTTGTTTGTTTACTGATGTTTCATTACCAAACTAGATAATATCTTTAATGCTTAACATGACCTCATCAGCTCATCAGCACATCAAAGACACAAAATACTCCAAGGACTCCAAAGACTATTATAATTATATATAATAATTATATCATTCTGTGAGGTCAGTATTTAATAATGTATTTGAATTATCTTTTTCTTTATTTTTTCCTATTTTTTTCCTCCAGGATATCAATATCTATATCTCTCTATCTCTCTATATATCTCTCTATCTCTCTATCTCTATCTCTATCTCTATCTCTATCTTTATCTCTATCTATCTATCTATCTATCTATCTATCTATCTATCTATCTATTCATTTATCTATAAAACAGTTGCTAGGAGTGATAATAAATCTGTATCAAAAATGTTTGTTTAAATAAGAAAACATTCTGACCTTATATATTCATAGGAATGTATAATAACAGAATGACAAAGTTGGAAGGGACCTTGGAGGTCTTCTAGTCCAACCCCTGCTCAGGCAGGAGACTCTACATCATTTCAGACAAATGGCTGTCCAATCTCTTCTTAAAAGCCTCCAGTGATTGATATGTCATAATGTTAGCTGAGATGTCTGCAATAATTTCCTTTCTAGAAATTATGAACTAGGTTGAACAATAATGATATATATTTTTTCTGCAAGCAGCCTCTCTGATTCACTGGATCTCCCAGGCTGAAATCGATCCTGTCTAAGCATACAAGAAAAGTTATTAGACACCTGCATAATTGATTCTGTAACAGTGGCAGCACCCAGACTGTGAGAATCTTTCCCCAGAAAAACTAATTGAAAACAGTATTCTGAAATAGTATTTTTTTTCAACTCCTGCAGTCCCTTCATATAGTAGGGGATATCTTTAAAGAAGGTCCAAGGCAGTTCTTAACAGTGAATGTATTGATTGCCCTAGCAAGTTTCTTATACCAGGTACTAATTGGGACATCAACAGCATCACTGATAGGAATAACCAAATATACTTAGAAGACATCTTGCAATCCAACCAGATCCCAAAGCATCTGCAGATAGACTGGGTGTTGGCAACCCATGTGTTCTGTCCCCGTCGCACGCACACACACAAACAGACATCCAGGAGTTAATGAATCAAACAGTCAGGAATTCCTTTAAGATAACAGCTTTGGCAGCGTCCCATGAATTGCCTGCCAAGAGATTTTACTCACTAAGGGAGGTTTTTTCTCCTCAGTCCGATATACCAAATTAATTCCACAAAGCAAAGAATTGTCAAAGTCCAGTCCGAAGAAATCCAAAAAGAGCTGCTAACAGGATTCTAGAAACACGATATGACTTCCGAGCTTTTCAATTTGTCCGTCACAAGGCCTGAATAGCTGACACACCCCATTTTATCCCTTGTGGGGTGTGGTCCAGTGACTCAATCTCTTAGCCTTCGGAAGAAACCTGAGGCATTGCTAGAGAGGAGGGTCCTGGAGAGGGAGCCCTTCCCAAATCCTCTCCTTCACCTTCTGAGTCCTCTCCCTCTGTTAGGACACGCTCGGGGGTTGGAGTCACAACACCATGGCTCCGGAGTCTCATGCAGCTCTTTGGGCCCTCTTCTGAGGCTTCCTGTCCCATCACTGGCTGGACCCACCCCCTCGCCCTTCCCTCCCAGTCACTCCTCACCTGGCCTTGGAAATCCGAGATATACAGAGAGAAGGGGGGAGAGAGAAGGAGAGGGGGAGAGAGAGACGTAGATACAGAGAGAGAGAGAGATACACAGAGAAGAGGGGGAGATAGAGAGAGGGAGAGAGATACATTGAGAGATACATAGAGAGAGAGGGAGAGGGGGGGAGATGGAGAGAGAAAGAGAAAAGGGTTTTGTGGTTCCTGGTGTTTTTTACCAACTGGTTCTCTGCCCTAATGACAGGCTGGGTAGGTGTGGCTAGGGGGTCATGTGACTGGGTGGGAGTGAGTGATGTGGAGTTGGGAGTTGGCCACACCCACCCAGGTTTTGTGGCTCCCTGTGGTTTTTTTTTTCCAGTGGGAAACAGGTCCAAGACAATCTTAATGTTCCTTACAGAACAGAGCTGATGACAATGATGATGATTATTTGTATGTCTGTTCATTTCTTCTAAGCGACTCTGGGTGGTTCACAGCAGGTAGCAACAACCATCCAATAAAAACAAATTTAAAAAACCAATATACAAATGTATAAAAACCAATAATCACTTTAAAATAAAAATAATTGCAATCAGGGTCAGAAGCCATCCTTACATCAGCCATTGTACGAGCTCTACAACAACGCCAAACCCCCAGACATGTTGATAAAGCCATGTCTTCAGGGTCATCCTAAAAGCTCAGGAGAGAGGCAGTTTAAGTTCTGGGGAGATGATGTTCCAAAGGGCAGGTACCAGGGGTGAAATCCAGCAGGTTCTGGCAGGTTCTGGAGAACCAGTAACGGAAATTTTGAGTAGATCGGAGAACCGCCAAATACCACCTCTGGCTGGCCCCAGAGTGGGGTGGGAATGGAGATTTTACAATATCCTTCCCCCAGGAGTGGGGAGGGAATGGGGATTTTGCAGTATTCTTCCCCTGGAGTTGAGTGGGAATGGAGATTTTGCAGTATCCTTCCCTTGCCATGCCCACCAAGCCACGCATACCAAGCCACACCACACCCACAAGTATGTTTTGTAAAAACTTTAATAAAAATATAAATAATAGGAAGAGATAAAGCATTACTAATTATATACTGTTTATGTTATTGTGATATTTCTTAGATGGAAGCTCTATCGCTTATTATTTACCAAATTATATCAAGAACCTACTGCTAGATTTATTACCCTTAGGTTAATCCAACTGAATCAGTCCAGCACACAAGAAAAAAATGTTTCTGCTCATTGATGTAGATAAACATGTAAAAAAACAAATTGTGTTGTTTGCAATTACTGCAAGGAAGATGTGGAAGACTGTTGAGAGTGCTGTTAATTTTAGCAGGGATGAATTGAAGTGATATAGACTGTTGTAATTTTATATGAAGTTTGCTAAAAACCAATGGTTGCAAATAAATATGCTAAAAGATTCATTGCATAAATAAGACATCCCAGACTGACAAAGTGCAAAATTGAAATGGGCTAATTTATCAACTTTTATAGGGATTCTTGAATCTAAAGCAGAAGAAAAGATTCAGAACATCTCTTCTCCCAAACAGCCAACTAATCATTGATTTAAAAAAAAACAAACACACACTTTGGGGAATAAAACAATAAAAGGCTCAACAAAAAAAAAAAAAAAGGTCATAGACAAGATTTCTAGGGGAGGACATGCTGCAAAGCCTGCAGAACCTGAGGCTGAAAAAATGGTAGCAACTTATTTCAACGGGCTCTGAAATATTTCAGCAAACTGGAAGGATCACTTGGAGATAGAATGATACTGAGCAGTTTCTGTAGCTTATGTTCAGACTTCAGACTTTTTGGATATAATTCTTAAAATCCCTAAATTAAAATAACGTTTTTGGTCTTTCTATCCAGGTGATTATTGAAGATTCCACAAATCTGAAGGGTGCCAGATTGTGTAGGTTTAATACAGCAAATTGCATAGAAGAATTTCTGTGTCTGAAAGTAACAAGAGAGCCAATTAAGCTGTATTCCATTACTGAACTGTTACATTCTGCAGGTATCAATTTTTCCACACCTTTTATTATTCTACGGTATTTATATAGAGAATGTGTGTAATTGTATTTTATTTCTAAATATGTTATTTTGGGGTACCATTAAAAGAATTCCAATTTGTATATATATCTTATAAATATATATATTTACAGCACTCTGGGCAGTTTACAATGTCAGCTTATTACCCCAACAATCTGGGTCCTTATTTTACTGATTTCAGAAGGATGGAAAGCTGCATCAACCTTGAGCCCCATCAGGATCGAACTCCATGGTGTGGGCAGAATTTGCCTGTAATGCTACATTCTAACCACTGCGCCAAGAGGGGTCTATGGAGAAATGGCATTCTGAAGTTCATAATTTGCTCAATAATTGTTTCAAATAGGATTATATAAAAACAATAATATCTTATGGACATATCAGCATTAATTTTGAGAAGCTTTTCCTGATGGACTAATGTTGCAGAAACATGTTCAGACAGATGTGAAACAGCAAAATCTTAAAACTGAATCATTAAAGCTCAACACTCTTTTTGTCCATGCATAGTGATAGTCAGAATTTTCTCTCTTTCTCTTTTTAAAAAAATTTTTCTATCTCCCATGAGGTTGGGATTTTAACACAACTTACTTAAGAGTAAGCCTTATTGAATGCAATGCATTCACTTTGGAGTAGACAAACCCAGACACCGTTAGGCATTTTAATGACTTCAGTTTGATATTAGTCATTGCTGAGGAGGATCATCTTCCTTGTGAATGGCTTTTGTGCCCTTTCGTTTGATTGGTTCACCCAGAAACCACCAAAAGGCTGCATGAATCACTCTGACTCATTACTTTCCAGTAATAGGCTGGCCTTTTTTTCAATTTCATCTGACTGCAAATGCAATGTGAGACACCCCCCCCCCCACTTTAATGTATTATCTTCTAAACGGACTGACAAGAGTATAAATTCAAGACAAAGGGCTTTAATTTTCCTTTCTTTCTGTGATCGTTCTTCAACATCCTCACAATGGAATTTCAACCAAATTTATACTAATTGCGACAGGACTGCTTTCATCAGCTATTGACTGCACAAAGGTGTCTGAACCAGAACCTTGAGCTCTTGCAAGTTAGAGCTTGTGCCAATATAAATCAGCACAGTTTCATTGAGCATAATATAACAAAATCAATTCTGCAGGAGGAAAAAGGTCCAAAGGCTGATTATTGCCTTCTGTAAATTTTTATAAATTAGAATTTTTTTACTGATTTTCCCCCCTATCTTTATAATAGGAGAAAAATAATTTAAAGCATTTTTATTTTATTTTTTTACATATACTGAGTAGTTTTATAGAGCCGAGGTGGCACAGTGGTAAGGGTGCAGCACTGCAGGCTATTTCAGCTGACTGCTAGCTGCAGTTTGGCAGTTCAAATCTCACTGGCTCAAGGTTGACTCATCCTTCCGTTCTTCCGAGGTGGGTAAAATGAGGACCCAGATTGTTTGGGGCAATATGCTGACTCTGTAAACTGCTTAGAGAGGGCTGTAAAAGCAAAATGAAGCGGTATATAAGTCTAAGCGCTATTGCTATTGCTATTAATTCATTTTGCACTGGAATGGATGGATGGCTGTATTATCTCACAAGACCCTGAGGACACAGATAAACCTCCAAATGGCCTAAACGACTCTCTAAAAGAACGCAAATAACCAGTTGTCTGCAAGGAATATAAATCCTTCCATTCTCCACCATCCAATCAGAGCTGAAGAAGCTTCTTGGATGAGAAGCAAAATGTCTTCAAAGAAAAACAAGAAAGTCCAGTTGCCTCTTGAAAAAGCACCTTTGGAACAATCATGACCTGGATGACTGAGAAACTCCACAGAGTTCCAAATATGGACTTCTATTTTCTTTCCTTAAATCCTGAATGAAGGTGAAATTCCAATCACTGTCTCCCAATGCTGCTTCATAAGGAAGTCCTTGTCTCTATTCTGGAATATTGTTCATTGACTGTTCTTGACTGTTAGTATATTCAGGGTCAAACTCTGATTGAAGAACGAGGCACAGGTTTGCCATAACTAAAATTATGACTAATATGTGCCAACTTCTTAAGGACAAAATCCAAAGGGTGTAAGAAAAAATACAAAGAATATGAGAAACAACAGCTGCAGAAAGAAAGAAAAATCCAAAGGTATAAGAAAGTATAGCAGTTAAGAGTAACAGATGGTTCAATCACATATGGAAGAATTGATTACTTGGTAAAGCATATATTCTAAAAATAGAACTGCAGGAGGTATAATATGATGGTACATTGAGATATAATTCTGGTCCAGGCCATTACAGGATTCATATAAGTGCTTAGGCATGCAAGTGGAAAGCATCCCCTTTTGTTAGTGGAGAATGGTTTTCCACTCTTAATTGGGATAGAAGAGCCTCTGATCTCTTAATGATCTTGGATTGAGTTGCAAAAAAAGTAGTACATTTTAAAAGCATTTGTTTGAATATTGCATATATGCTACCAACAAAGATTTGAGATTTTGACGTATTTACATATTGGCATTCACCCATTTAATCTGGTCTCTAAAATCACTGGACTGCCCAAAATATACATATTTCTCTGACAGGAAAACTAACAAAAAATTGGTACCCTACTGGCAACCAGTATAGCACCAAAAGTAGTGGAGTCATAAGTGCATAATGTGATGCCTTCATCCCTGCTTGCACACTGCATTCTGGAACTAGCTGAAGCTTCTATATGGTCTTCAAGATCAGCCCCATGTAGAGTAATCCAATTGTGAGATGACAAAGACAGGAGTGATCTCCCAGTTCAACAGAGGGTGCAACTGGCACACAAAATATACCTATACAAAGGGTCTCTTGGCCACAGCTTCCACTTGCTTTTGGGAACAGGAGCTGAGAGTCCAAGAGGATCTCAGATTCTTCACAGGTCTTAGAGTGCAGAATTCACTATACAACCACATTGAAAGACAACAATGAAACACCTCCAGATCTGGAAGGTCCTAAACAGAGAAAGCCTCTGAGTCCTTGTCTTGTTAGTTCTGAGCTTGAGTCTGTCAATCATTCACACCAGCATAGGTTTGGGCACTGAGTCAGGACTCTGACTGAAGTGCTCACTTAGCTAGGAGCTGAAATGCATTTATTTTTATTTTATTTATTAAAATGTATTTTGTCTGTATCATTGTCATGTGATACCCATGCATATCATCAGTATATTGATGGTACCTGACCCAAATTGGCAGATGACCTCACCCACCAGTTTCATATAGGTGTTAAACAGAATGGAAGAGGATTGCAATGGAAACCCTGCAATCTACAAGTGGTAGATCATGGAAACAATTTCTCCCCAAGTGAAAACACTAATTAAAACAAACATAGGGAAAGGAGAGAAATCACTGAAAACAATGCCTCCAGCCTCCAGAATTGGTCCAAAGGAAACTATGGTTCATGGTACTGAAAACTTGAAAAATCAAAGACTATAATAATGTGTGTCGGGGGGGTGGATGTGTGTGTGTGTGTACAACAGCACCATGGCTGGAAATGATGGCAATTTTTGGCCATTATGAAGTAAGAAAAAGGCAGTTGGGTTGTTAAAAGGGGTGCTTTTATGGCCAATAACCTCTACCCCAGAAACTGTTGAAAAGAATAACCATTCAAGAGATTCCTTCTCTCACAATAAAAGCAGAGAATTTCGAAAAAGCTCATATTTACAGCTCTAACATATTGGCGGAGCAGTATGTGCTGCAGATTATAGAACAGAAGAAAGTATATATTAAATGTGTAGTTCATGTATAATATGGATTTTGAGGGGAAAATATTAAAACCTCTTGATACATTTTTAAGTTGCATAGTAACATAACAAGAGGAGAGAATATAACAGGAAAGCTATGTTATTCTATGGTGGTATAAAATCAGAAAGAGTCTGGTAGAATCTTTTCTAATTAACGAATTGTAGGAGATGACCAGACTGAGCATGAGGGAGGGATCAAATGCATAATCAGTCTTGAGTCCCTTCATACCCACAAGAGATCTTAGTCCAGTCCATCTTGAATTCCATTGACTCTTATTTACTGCCAATTTGCTTTGACCATTAGTAGTTTTGATTCTTGTAGAGCAGTGACTCCCAACCTTTTGGGTACAGGAACTGGTTCCAAGGAGAGAGATTTTTCCATGGACTGGTGGGGGCATGGTTTTGCATGCTGCCTGCATCCCGTGGATGGGTTGTCACTTGTTTGTGGGGCCCAGTTTCTGGCAAGCTACAGACCAGTGCCAGGCAACAGACCAGGGGTTGGGGACCTCTGTTATAAACCTTTATGTTCATTTGAGCTGACTAGTTTGCCTGATTTCCCTTATGTTTGAGAAAAATGTTATTAAAAGGTATAAATTGTTATTAAAAGGTATAATGTTATTAAAAGGTATAAAAAGGAGGGCCTTCTCTGTGGGGGCACCCGCCCTCTGGAATGAGCTACCCCCAGGAATACGACTAATCCCGGACCTCCGGACCTTCCATCGAGCTTTGAAGACCTTCCTATTCCAGCAAGCTGGGCTGGCTTGAAATTTTTAAAGGGTTTTTAAGGGGTAATGGGTTTTAAATACTTCGGGAAGCCAATTGGATTTAATTCTGTTTTAAATTATTTTAAATTTTGTATTGTATGTATTTTAATCTGGCTGTGCACCGCCCTGAGTCCTTCGGGAGAAGGGCGGTATACAAATTTAAATATAATAACAATAACAATAACAATAACAATAACAATAACAACAACAACAACAACAACAACAACAACAATAATAATAATAATAATAATAATAATAATAATAATAATAATAATAATAATAAATTGGTCACTCAATGCCAGGGGTGTCAAACTGGCAGCCCACGGGCTGGATGCATCATGCACAGGTCATGCCCACCCCAGCTCGGCAAAGGGGAAAAACATTGTGAAATGTTACATGATGGCAATATGATGCAGCAAGTTTGACACCCGTGCTTTATGCAATTAATGAAGTGAACTATGATTCATGAA